TGTCAAAACCTCATCACTTGACGAATACTTAGGTTAGCAAATTAAGTCTAATTTTTAGGTAGTCAAAGTATATTCAAGTACAAAGGTACGTAGCTAAGATTCTTAGTTGGGGTAAATTGTAAAAAATTCTAAAAATCTCAAATGAACCCAAAAAATTTTCAGGAGGATTGCAATGGGGACAGTTACCCCCGTTGCCTTCATTGTGAATCCGTCCCTGTTGGTATATGATTGATTGAATTCTTACAGATGTGTGACAAACTATTACACAACAGATGGAAGAATTCAGTTGATAAGCTTAATGTTGGTTTTATATTTTTTACCTTTTTTGTTTGCAAAAAGGATACAGTCTCTGAGTCCTCATAAATCTTGAACCACACAAATAAAAGGCTGGCTCTTTTGGAACCTGCCATTGAATAGTTGTTCCAATGTCCATCAATTGATGGGCATTTTCCTGTAATCTACAATGTAATGATCAGTATTGGCAGACAATGTGTACATTGCTTACAAGAAAATAGGGTCGTGCCTTATCAGGAATTGACCTACCATTCATAAGGACCGTGACTAGGTGCTTGTAGGCTTTTATATAATGTTGTAGGGAGGGGGATAGGGATACTGACCTCTCTCTCTGTCTCTCTCCATTTAGTTTGCTCTATGTTGGAAGGCCACTTCTATGGGGGCTCCTTAGGCCTAAGAAATTGCTAATTAATGCATCAGGGTAATTTAGTTGGAAAAAGGTGATTACTGCATCGAGTTCCTAAATTCAAGTCTTGCAAGAAGAATTTTATTTGACCCGATACAAGTGATTATAGATGGGGTTATACATTTTAAATTGAGTTATACCCACAAATCTAAAATAATGGGATTGAACGTGGGTTGAGATAATTCTAAATTGTGAACAAAGTCAAAAATCTTAAAGAATTGGAGTACAAAAAAGATATAATTCCTGACATATCTAAACTATAATTTCCCAATCTTGAATTCGCATTGTTAAACTGTTGAACATGCACATTATTCTTGAAATTTTCTTTTAAAAAAGAAAAAAGAAAAAAAAATCATTTGCAAGAAAAAAGATTAATTAATGTAGAACATGAGATGTGAAAAGTGAGCCAATGGCTCCGAATGCCGTGCACTTGAAGAAAAAGATCCTTAATTAAATATAATAAACAAAATAAAACCGTAGTGTTATGGTCGTTTTCTCTCTTCTTTTTCAAACTGGGTAGTGGTATAGTCCACCAGTAACCTTCCGCTTGAATAGTTTACTGTGAAATTTCCTTCTAACTTATAATAGACCCTTTCATTCCACTTGAAATTGTTAATAAAGTTTAGTGCCCATTGTGGGTGTAGCTAATGTCTTTGAAAGATACATTAAGTTAAAAAATAAATTAACATTAAGTTTATTATTTTGTTCAAACTTACTGTTTGGTTCAGGTTGTACCCGGGTGCCCCTTCTCGAACCAGAGAGTTAATAATTAGGAATAAAATGAGGACTGATGCAGATTGGGTGGTTGATTGGAGGCCTAAAAATTTCGGAATCATACTGACTATCACACGGTGCTACAGTCACAAGAGATAGTTTTGTATGTAACGTCATGATTAATGAAAACCTCGGCAAATAAATATATTTACGTCACACTTGCTTATGCGTGATTATGCAAGTTGTTTTAAATTTGTTTAAGAAAAGGTGGAAATTGTAAAGTCATTTATTGTTATTGTACTGAAAGTTTCAATGAGAACTTAAGAGGAGATGTGGAAAATAGGCAGTAGCATTAAAATGATGTAATCTTGCTCTCGTCATGATGACTTGGACTTGAAGGAAGGAATCCGCATGGCAGACATAAACCTTTTTTTTTAATGTTATAAAGAAAATCAAACATCCAAGAATATTATTTTTTATATTGTCCCAGTATGAAATGTTCATTTTGATTTCTAAGAATTTCTTTCACCACACTTGGTATTTTTGTAACTTTAAGTTCACACTTTGGGAACATATCTTTTACTTTTGTTATTTTTGGTCTGGTAATGGCGAAATCGTTTCACATCACGCATTTTTTGAACTCACAACTAAATTGCAAACGATTAGAGCATACAATCACACGTGCATCGATTAATATCAAACTAGAGGACTCAAACTCAAAATATGGAATTTCAAACGAAAGCAGAATTTGGGTCAATGGTCGAAGAAAGACATCCATCTTTGAGCGAGAGATGAGTAAGTTACATATAGACTAACATTGAAAAGAAATGCATCTATCAAGAAAAGAAAATTAAAGTCACACCAAGACTAGAAGAAAAGGAATTGAGGAATGAAATTGCATGGTGCGTGTTAGGAAGAGAAAAAAAGGGGAGGGGGGGAAGTGCAATGCGGGCCCTTCCACCATGAACTTGCTCTAAAATTTCCCACCACTATAATGTCCAAAGAAATGAAGAAAGAAGAAAAAAAGAAATCATGAAGCGCATGGTGGTGCGGTCCTTTCTTCAACTTTCTTGTGCTCTTTCTAATCCACCCTTTGAAAAGAATTGGTTGTTGGAGAGACCAAAGACTTCAACATTGAATACAAACTACCCTTTTCAAACACAAATGGAGATGACTCTCTCTCTAGCTAAGAGCAGCCATACCAGTCAATCACGCGAACGAACTCCATTAATCCATTAGGAAAGGAATGAAGAGCCTTCACTCTATAACCCGAATGACCAGATTAAAAAAATGGTTCAAGTGGAACTTCGACTTTCTTGCAATTAAGTTATGTGTTTGAATGGTTCGGCAATAGTTCACTCACTCCAATCCAAGAGCAATCTTTTCTGCAATATATCAATATTGATACTGGAGAACCGTCCTATCCACTTGTCTTTCAGATTCTATAGTGCCACTACGCGTGTGTGCAATCACTTACAAATTATGTACTTTGGATAAATTACCTTGAAATAGTAACTCTTAAAATCTCTACTAAACTACCTTGATAGTTTGTATTTGCTTTATTTACTAGTATCTATTGAGGGAGAGATATTTTGTTTCCACTTCAAGTGCATTATGTAAAATCTCTACCTTGTTTCCACTACCTTAAATTATTGAAAATGTTTCAAAAAGTTTAATTTACAAAATATATACGATGACCAAAATATAGTTTGAAACACAATGCAACTCATCCATACCTTCAGGCTACAACTATCATGAAGAGATAACAAGTATGTGGAAAAAAAAACTAGAGAGAAAGACAGAGACTCCCAAAAACACTTGGTCTATAGTTGAAAGTTGATGGCCAACCCAGCAAAGCGTGGCAAGGTACATTATGGTCCCTAAATATATGAAAGGCGGATTCCGAACAAGTACATACCTTGACGTTTAAAAGAAAGTTTTCACTGGCTTTGTTTTAGTAGAAAATATCATTATAATTTGGCGCTTTTTGTAAAAAAATGTGTGAAGCAATCTATGGGGGTGATCGATACATTGATTGTCTATCCCCATAAGAGGTGACACAACGAAAACATTGTTATAATCATAGACTTTTTAAAATTTGATATGACGTGAGGGAGATTTTCTTCCTTGGAATGGTGCATATTTTTATCTAGTTGTATTAGAGTTAGTAGCTGACGGCAAAGCGCTTGAGAGACACATAGTAATTTAGGCTGACTTTAACGTACTATTTTGGATAATGGAAAGCAGCATCTTAACCTATAGTTGAATACGAAGGCAATCAAGACAATCATCCTCGTGAACTGGATAAAATGTTGGAAAACTTTCTCTTTCCTTTTCATTAAAAACAAAGCAAAATGGGTGCGTAACCTGGCAGTAAAAAAAGGTGATGTATGACTAAAAAAACGAAAGGACGAAGAACATTTTGGAATAACAAAAATTCGAAAGTACAAGAGCAAATAATCACTATTACGTGCCTAATTCATTGTTGTATTGCAAATTTTGTAATTGTTAGGAATTATCCGCAAATCAAGTGCAGCAGTTAACTTTGAACTTGATAAAAAATATTAAAACCCAAAACGTTTAGGTTTATATCTCACTCTTTATTTCATGATTTTTGACTTTGGGATATATTAATGCAAGTAGTTATAGTTGTTCTATTTAGAACTAATAGTCGAGTCAAGTTATTTAGAGTCGGTTCAAATAGGGCTTGACTTGTATAGAGCTTGACTCCAGTTTAAAGAATTTTTTAAGCTTGTTTAGAAAAATGAACCTAAAAAGACTCGGCCCGAACTTGTTTCATTTATGTGTAAAATAGTTAAGCTGCTTAGGTTCGGTTTGGTTTGATCTCGATTTGGAAAATAAGTCGAACTTAAACAATTTTTTAGTTTCGTTTAAAAAATCGAGCTCAATAGGTTCAGTTCGAACTCACAAAACTTAGATCCATTATCAACCCTAATTCTATTCTATTCTTTGGAAGGTTTTTTTGTTGGTGGGAAGGGTTTTGGTCATGTAACAGTGCCACGATTGAGAATAGGCCATGTCCAATTTGATCTTTTTTATAGAAGCTCACCAAACAAGAAAACAAGCAAAATAATAGAGGTTCTCACAAACAAGCATGGCAAATATAAGAAAAGAGTGCTTAGTTGTTAAGCATTCAGACGGACAAGTAATTCAGTGTGGCAGACCCCCACACCAAGTGTAACCAAATGATCATCTTGCTAGTTAATTTTATAAGATTCTTATTCAAGATCACTGTACCTTACGAACCTAACATGGGCCTTGTGGGTTTGCTGATAAAAGAAAACACTAGTCTTAATTGATGTGGGCCTGAATCTCTAAATGTTCGTTGTGACTTAATTTGTCATACATCTATGCTTTTTTTTTAATGGGCTTTATAATGGACGCAACCACCCTGGAAAATGGACTCTCCTAGCCTGCTGGTATAAATTTTGGACCTAAAACACATTTACGTATACTAAGCCCATGGGCTCAGCCACCTTTCACTTATGGGCCTTGGCCCCCTCATGTTTTTCAAACCAAAAAACAAAAACACTAATGTATCTATAATTTATAATATAAAACATGACAGGTTTCAATAAGTTTATTTGACGGTCTTAAATAAATTCATTCAATGACCACTAACATTCCTCTCAAAATCATTCACAATATTGCATCGTGATTTCAAGCACGAATTATCTCTAATACATATATATAGTCCTTAACACAAGAATACAATAATTCTTGTTTATTACACAAATTGCCATAATTGATTAGTAGACATAATTCACCTCAACCAAGCAGGTAATTAAGGTTGACATACTACACAAAATAGTAGAGTGTAAATATCATTCGGACCCCCTAGGTTTTGGTGAAATGACACGGAATTTCCCTGACATTCCAAAAATAACACAAGATCCCAATCGACAATTCCAAGTGGGGCTAATCCATCAACTTCATTACTTTCTTCCAAGAAGGCCTGTTTGAAATATTAATCCACCAAGAGTTCACATTCTTCCTCTCTGTCACTAAATGTCCAAGTCCAGCTTCATTCATAACATACCTAATGCCCGGAAGGTGACTTAGATCAGCAAGAGTGAAAGAATCTCCGGCAAGGTAGCTGCTCTTCGACAACCTCTGCTCGTACACGTCGAGTACTTTCTCAAGCTTTTTCTGACAGTTATGAACCACTGCCATGTTGCTATTCTCCCCCATTCGTGGGAGGACCACCAGTTGAAGCACCACCGCGTAAACTAAGTCGTTGAAATTGTGTGCTTCGACTTCTAGCCATTGATCAACTAGAGCTCTCTCCTCTAGAGTAGTTCCTAGTAGGTTAGGACCATTGCTTGCGTACTTTGCTGCATAATACCTAATGATCGCCCTAGACTCTGAAGAAAATTGAAGAACCCAACATGAGCCAAAGAAAATAACCCTTTTGTTTTAGTTATGTTTATTATACACAATATATATAAGAAGGGAACATGTTTCATGAAAATATATTTTTAATGATAATACAGAATAATGTAGCAGCCGTATTATTTGTAAATATCATGACATTAATGTTTTTCTTTTTTGTTTCAGAAATGAAAATTTGTTAATATGGCACATGATTTTGCGTGCAAATTATTGTGTAAATTATCGGACTATGTAGTATTGTTGAGATAAAAACAATTGCTATGAAATAAAATTAAAAAAAAAAAAAAGCCTGTAATTTTCATGGTTGTAGCTTCGGAGGGGAAATGACTTTGGTCATGACCCTTAGAAATGGTAAGGGTAACCCTGCGTGGAAAATAATATCGGGTGTAATCGTTACATTATATCAATAGTATCACGTAATATAAATGGTCCACTAATAGATAAACGAGTAATGCTAGATGGACTTAAAATCTAGACTTGATAATTACAATCATTGATTCACTGTGGGTCCCAGCATTTATTGAGTCTAACTACTTTTTTAATGGATGTGATTATCAAAGCTAATTTTTAAGTCCATCTAACATTACTAGGTCCCACTAAAATTAATAACCACCAAGTCATATTATATAGAGTAATGCTACACTGACCAAATTTAGAACTCAAATGACATGACAATTGATTATTTAAAATTTTTATTGGGGCCCAAATAACACGACATCAATCAAAGAAGCTCAAGCCAACTATCATGTCATTTGGACTATAAATTTGATTCCAAAATTTAGTCAGTCTAACATTACTGTATTATATATATATATAATTACCTCCATAATAGAAAATAGACCCTATTTTACTTTTTTTATTCTTATTTTACTGAATGATTACATCATATTAACCTTACGGACATAGTCTAACGGTTACACTCGAAAGAAGAATCGCTAACATAGTCTAACGGTTAGCATTGCCCACACACTCTAACGGTTACCCTCGATATTTACTCCTGTGTATGACCCAGTTGTAGGTTGCTTTTATTTTTGGGTAAATGACACTTTAACCCCTTTATTTGATAAATATTTTACTCTCTCTAGACAAAAAACTCGAATACATTGAATGCTCAATTTTTCCAATTGGTTTCTTTTTTGTCAATTCTGACAACGGCGAGTAGGATGGGGAGAGAAACATGATAGGGATATCTTTTGGGAAATTTTTATCAATAAATCCCACTTTGCATTTAAAGAAACTATTAAATCCTACCGAATTCTACAAGACTATTAACACTGGACTTAGATTACAATACTAAAAAATAACTTTTGGATACTAGTCATTTTTTTGTGTGTCAATCGCAATATAACATGTGTACATGTAAGGGATCTGTACTGTCAATAAACAAATGCGTATTACAAATATGCAGGTCCAAAATAAAAAAAAAATACGTATCCATGACTTTGCTCTTCTTAAATTCTAAATTTTTTTCTTCCTCTTTTTCTTCTTAACAATTATTTGATTGCAAAAAAAATAAAATAAAGTGGTACTAGACACTTGGCAATAAGTTTTTTGAGGTTTTTTTTTTTTTTTAACAGATTTTTAAGTTTGTCGTTATCTATTAGAGTGATATAAAATGAAATTGATACTTTAAAGTATACTATACAAAAATTTTATAATTAAGGGTATAAAGTAAAACAAGGGCAATAACTCATAGCGATAAAGTATAATTTATTCTAATTTGTTCCACTGGTCCTCAAACTCAGGACTGTAACTCTGTCAGTGGGGTAGTTCAGAAATAGTTAAAATGCTGCATGTTCTTACCAAAAAGCCTGAACTCGCCATCCTCAATGGCAGGAACTTGTCCAAAGGGCTACAAAAAAACCAAAGAAATTCATCATTAAAAAATTAAGGAAAAAAAATCAAATGAAAACAGTGTTGTTAAACAATCCAAACAATTCGAAGTCGGCTTAGACTCCACAAGTAGAAGAAGGGTGTGGAGAAAGACTTGAGTTCTCTGACCTGTCGGAGTAGGAACTCCGGCCGCTTGTGTTCTCCAGATTCAAGGTCGACATGGATGAGCTCAAAATCAACTCCCATCTCTACAAGGCAAACCATCACCCTCTGTGGACAAGCCGCCATTACAGGACCATACACTTTCACCACCATCTTTAAACAGTGCTATTGTCACATACGCTATAAAGGGTATATGTTGATTCTTGCCGATTCTGTGAGAAACCCACCTCTTAAATAGCAAGAACTATGTATGGGTGGGTCCAATCTCCGAGCTAACAGACAATGTGGGTCTTAAATGTCAGTTGAGCAAACAACTGTAACTAATATCTATAAATTCTCATGCAATCTTTGACGATTAGGCTCCGCAGCGACTTTTAAACAACTTAATTTCAACAACATCCCGTAGATCTGATCTGACAAAAAGATGGAAGTGGCATGTGAGAGAAAGGTGGTTTGGTTTGCTACCATTCTCCATGGGAAGTGACCGATGTCTGTTGAAAAGGTTAACAACTTAATGTTTTTTTTACAGCAATGTTACACCGACAAAAAATATTCATTCTAAATGATATGACAGTTGATTTCAATTTATTTATTTAGTGTCATGTCAATGATCAAGATATTCGGGTCAACTTATATGTATTTTAATTAATTCTTTCTCCGCTTCAATCAAAGACAGATCATTCATTCCGTCTCTATTACTAGTTGAGATATTCATTGAAATTAAGAATTTAATTCATATCGTTATTAGATCACTTGCGTTTGTATTTTTTTCAAAAAATAGATCAACTATGAGTTTTAATATTAAATAAATTTTTTAATTTTTACCTAACAAATATAATGAATTAAAAACTCTAATTAGATACTTAAATTAAATAAAAATAAAAAATTTCTATGTGACAGCAAAACGATGACTAAAATTTGGGAGGGGGGGGGAAAGAGTGACCAAACCACTTGTCAAACATTATTTGAGGATGGAAATGCAGATGGTGGTGGAAAAAGTAAGGAAGATTATGGTATTATATTGAAATTTATAATTAAAAATAAATTAGTAGAGCTAATTTTGATTTAAAAAATATTAATTGTAACTGGTTGTAGCTAAATTGTGATCGATTATGATATTATATTGAGATATATAAATTGTGGGCAATTGGTCCTTTTCTATTACCCAATTTGTTTCTCAATAAAAAAATTCAAATAATGCACCTCTGACCACGAAGAAATGTAGAAAAGGAACGCACAATGCTTTGCACGTCCTGTCCGATGGTCATCAACCACCGCTCCATATATGTCACTACACACTTTTTGTTTTTATTCGGTATTCAAAGTAAAGAACGGAAGATAAGGTAACTCATAAGTTAGGTAGATATGTTATTATTGTTGAGGGTTAATTCTATTAGCGGTCTTTAAAATATAAAATTTATTATATTTTGGTCACTAATATTTTAATTGAATTATTTTAATTATTTTAATCTTTTTAATCCTTGAAGTATTGAATATGTTTTTATATGATCTTTCAAATTGACAACTTCCAAATTATTAACGATTTTTTTATTATAAACTTGTCATGTAATATTTAAATACAGACAAAAAATAATTTTAACAGCTCTGAATCAAAATTTGGGTAGCTCTTAACACAAAAATGTTTAATATGAATAACTTTTGACCAAAATTTGGATAAGTCATGATTAAAACTGTGAAATTTAGACAACTATTTAATCAAAATTTGGTCAAGAGTTATCTAAATTATTTTTTGTCTATATTTAAATATTGTGTGATAAAAATTTATGATAAAAAATCGTTAACAATTTGAACGCTGTCTGCTTGAAAGAACATATAAAAACATTTTGAATAATTTAGTGGCCAAAATAATTCAATTAAAATATTTGAGACTAAAATGAGATACACTCTATACTTTAAGGATCTACGCTACAATTAACCCTATTGGTGATTGTGTGGTTGTATGGGAGGAGGAGACACTAACTTTTGTTGCGCCCCTCCTCCTCTCAAATGTTTATATTTAATTAAAGAGTAATGTTATTGAAACTTAATTTACTATGACCTTTAAATTAACTGTGGGCTCCATCAAATATTGAAACTTGGTATTTATCCAACTATTCTAATAAAATCACTTCGTTAGGTCAGCAAATTATGTCATATTTTTAAGTCCAAATAATATTTTCCTTAATTAAATTTCTATCGTTTCTATCAAAAAAATTTAATTATTTTTTTTCTTCTCATAATTGATATTTTATAGCCTAAAAGATACGGGGTCGAATTTTAATTTAATCACTAAAATTTTAATTAGAACAATCAACGGTTTTAATTAACCCTTCCATCCAAATCTGTGTACTTCAATATAATAGAATGGAGCCGCGTGACCAATACGTAATTTATTTGAAGGAATATGCTCATCTTCTCAAATATTTTTCACCCTTGACCGATCTAGTTTATAATATATAATAAACTAAAGAAAGATCGGGAGCTACTATGACCACTAGTTATGATTGTGTTTGCTGACGAGACAAACATATCCTTTAGAATAACTCAATCGTCAGTCGAATGGTTTTATTCTAAAAATTTAAGTTACGGGCGATAACGTTTTTGTTTTTATATATTTTTTATAAAAATAATAAGATTAATTTTTATTTTATTTTATTTTTTATGAAATAAAATATAAAACATTTTTGATAATTATTTATATTTAAAAATATATATAATATTATATATTTTAGTTAATATTTTAATTCTAAATACCTCATCTCGGGATGTTCTTTGTGAGCAAAAAAAAATTAGAGATGTTCTTGTTAACACAAACTCATAGACAAAATCCTCTTGCTAGGACACACACATACATATATACACACTGATCTATATATATAGTAGACATATACACACAAATACATATGTACACAAAGAGTTATATAAACATAACACATACACACACAAAAACATAAATACATACACACACATGTAAATCTATGTATATATAACATCATGTATGTAGATTTATGCACATATATATATACTTACATACATACATATATAAATCTATGTGTATATATGGTATAAAGTTAAGACCAAATGGGGAAACGAGCAAGAGAAACGATGTAGGTTTTGTCTTCGTCTTCGTGTTGAATTTTGTCTTCATCACTAGTTTCAGAAGAGTGAAACGAGCGAGAGGGAGAAAGATGAGGGAAAGAGACGAAAAAAAAAGGAAAAGAGATTTTTATAGTTGACACAAAAAAATTTTCATTTTGTTGCTAATGAGATTCGAAGGCTGAATGTCATTAATTGTTAATAGAGATGCGCACGTGTTTTTAGTTTTGAATGTTTTCAAAAACATCATTTTTAGTGTTTACAAATTTGAACCTTATTTTCAAAACAATATGGCTTAAAAAAATATAAACATATCACAAACACATTATTTTTTTTTTTTTTGCAAAAAATGGAAAAAAAAAACACACAAACACAAGGTTACCAAACGACACCTAAGTTAACACATTTGGATGAAAAGGTTTCATTGAGACTTAATTAAGAATTTACAGATTTCATTGTTCCAATCAAAAATCTAACTTACATCATTCTTAAAGGATCTAACCCTTTTATTTTGACACATCTTGATCTCATCACCTCAGATAAGGGTGTCCATGGCATAGACCGGGTTAGGCTCGCAAAATGTTTTTCAAATTGAACTTGTATGGAATTAGTCCAAGCTCCTTACTCCAACAAATTATCCGGCGGGCTAGACCAGGTTTCAGGTAGTGGTTCTACTGGGCAGACTTATATATATATATATATATAATTTTATTTTTAAAAAATTAACTTAATATTTTTGTAAATTATATTTTTTAATTAAAAGTAGAGTCAAAATAGACAAAAAATAAATATTAAATAATTTTATTTCAATATAATAGAGTTGTACATTATTACCAAAATTTCAAAGTTTCAATGGTTAATTTTTTTGTCAAATAATTGGTTGGAAGGGCAAACGGGTTGGTTTTTGGGTTGAGTTTTAACGGATTTTTGTGAATGGGTTCATTGGTCGGGTTTTGCCTTGGGTGATGGGTTTGAGGGCAAGTTCAAATCCCCTCTTAAAAGATATAAGGCTCGAGCTCGGATAGACCATTTATTGGGCTTATCGAGCTTCAGACAGGTAACGAGACTTGTGAGATAATCCAATCCATAGATACCCCTAACCAGAGAGAGAGAGAGAGAGAGAGAGAGAGAGAGAGAGTGGCATACCTCTGGATTGTGGCCAAAAGAATTTCCGATTCTATGAATAAGTTTCCTCAAAATAGAATAAAGTTGTTCATCAGTTATCTTTTTGAGACTACGTCAATTTCTGTGTCTATGAATAAGTTTTTTTTTAATAAAATAAAATTATTCATCGTTTATCTTTCTGAGAATACACCAAGGCTAAAAACCTTGCTGCGTGAGTACTATCTTATTAAAAGTGTTGCCACTTTTAATAAAAATTGACATGTCAACTTGAGAATTGTCATTATTCTTTCTCTACTTGAGAGATATTTAGAGACTGTATCATGATTCAATGAGGTTACAATTTTGAAGATATATAGTAAACCTTTTTCCAATACAAACAGAAGTTACATAGTAATCTATTCTATTCCCTATTCTTTTCTTTTTCTTTTTTAGTTCATATGATAATAGTTAAAACTTGGATTCATCCAACCACCTCTTAAGAAAAAAAAAATATACTCAATCGCCAGGCGACGATGACGACTTGGGCAGTTAAACTAAAATCACAAGCTCAAGTAAATAGGCATATTTCTATTTATTTCGGATGAAATCTCACTGCAATACAACAATTTCTAATATTCAACATTTGCCTATATTTTTTAACTACATTATGGATCTATTCATGCCTTTACCAGAGATGACCTCGATGGGGAAACCAGAGACTTTGTATATGCAACTGGTAAAGCAAGTATCTTTTTTGGTTTGCTTACATAAGCCCTCATGGTGAAGTTGTTGTAGTCATTGGCTTCAATCTCATCCAAGATTTGTCTATACAACAGCAATGCTGCCCACACCTGCCAACACCCAGAATCAATATGCATTCATCTCAAAAGGGTTGCAAACAGTGTGTATAACCCTAGAAGAATGAAAAGAAAAGTGTCTAGGCATGTATTTTGAAGAAAATCAAAATCAAGTCCTAGAAAATAATCCGAAAAGCGCTGTTACTTGATTTCGTGACATGGATATACAAATCTTACCTGAGATGAAGCACAGGACAAGACCAGAAAACTTAAATAGCCCTATTGGTTGGAAACACCTACACAACTGCGAATTTATTTTGCATTCCACATTGTTCTTTTAAGTTCTAACAAACAAGTTACCATTGTAATACGTGGCCATTTGACCCCATTCAAGTTTTCTGAGAACTTTGGTTCTCCTGTCGAGTGATACCACTAGAGTTTAAAAGAAAATGGGAAGTGGTGTAAAAGATGAGATCAATTTCCAACATTAAGGTACTCTAAAAGTGCAATTTTAAATTTAAGTCGTACCCAATTTATATTATGTTTGTTTCAAGACAACAGTTCTACTATCCAAACTGTTTCTATGAGGATTAAAGAGATACCAAAAAAAAAAAAGATGAAGATGGAGGCAAGCGGAGAATTGTTGTATATATTTCTTTTTTTTTTTTTTTTTGTTTCATACATTTTTTCATTATGGACTTGGAAAGCATAAATTATCCCAACAGAATTGTACCTTTTAACCATTTAAAAAACCACTAAAAAGGTTTCCACACTTCCACACTTGACATTGACCGAACCAGCACAGAAAATTTCCTGGCCCCACCTCGGCCATGATTTTTTAGGTTAAAGAAGAGCTTTAGGTATTCTATCAATGTTAAGATTAATGAAAATTGCAGGTAAAAATAATAATAAAGAGAAAAGCTATTGAAAGTTAATGTCGGCTTACTGGCCATCTGCTAGCTGAGCTGAGCTCTGTGACTCCTTTCTCGGCCTCATCAAAGAACGTCCTTGCCCTCTTGATTTGCTTCTTCATGAAGTTCCTCCATTTATCTGTTACTTTTCCTGCAAATATGTCTTCATCTGAAAGATCTGCCTGAGCAAGTTCATCTTGTGGTAGGTAGATCCTTCCTCTCCTAGCACTGGAGCGAAAAAAAAAAACTCTTAAGAGAAGTCAAAAAGCAGATATCTATCCCTAAAGAAAAAGCATGTTAGATACTGTATTAGTGCCCTTGCCCTATGTGATTGCCATGAAAACAGTAAACAAATTATTAATTCATCAACTAGGGCAGCACAAGGGAACATAGATACATGAAATTCGGCTGCACCACGGGATTGAAATAATATTGGCTTTTGCAATTTCATGAACTTAAAATTCTCACTAAACAGGATTGTGTTCAAATCAGACAGGCCTTAGGACAAGCTGAAACTGCTGGAAGGGTTTACTCGTGATCTTTTTCAGTTTTCATTAAGAACAATCTAGAGAACAATCAGGGAAGGATAATGGCAACGTGTTTTTTGCAAGCCAGACAATAATAATTTAAACCGTGAACCAACATCTCCTATTGGTAGATGGTGATCGAATTATCTATTCTACTAACACTTCTATGTTACAGGACAAATTTAAGATTCTGTACTTACTCTTCTCCAACATCCCTGAGTATGTTTGTCAATTGATTTGCAATCCCTAATGCCAAAGCAGCATTATAAACACTCTCTGTTGTAGCATGTGATTCAGGTGCAATGCCCATCACTGGAACACTCATCAATCCAACCGTGCCTGCCACATAATAACAATAGAGATATAGCTCATCAAAGTTAATATATCTGGACTTCCTAAGGTCCATCCTCATTCCTTCAATCATATCTCTGAATGGCTGCAAAAGAGATTCCAAAATGAAAATAAGTACACCATATTGAAAGCCACACAAATTTTGTTAATGAGCTGAGACATATGAATCTATGATAGTTCAGTATATGACACATGTCAGAAATCTAGTGGAAGTTGATTGATTGTTGAAGTCTCTTCTCATAAGGACATGAGCAGCATGACTGTGACAAGGGCTTGTTCAGAGGGGATCTTATAGAAGCAGGGATATAGCTATCAACTAACTTATTGCAAAATCTAACCTGAATATCAACAGGAAACTTGGCAACTGTGTCTGATAAAGCAGCATCTAGCATATCAAAAGGGCGTCCTCCAAAAACATCTTCCAGCCTTGCCTCCCACCTATCCAAAGCGGTTGGAGTTATATGTGATGCGTTAGGGCCATCAACAAGCTCATCTGTTCTCCTACACCACACTGTATAAAACGAAGTTATAAAGAGAAACAAAAGAGAAGCCAGTAAACTGTTATTTAACCTGAATCCATATATTATTACACACAATTACAAATTTTTGTTAGACAAAATTGTTTATTTCAAAACTACAAAAGAAAAAAGTACATAATAGGAAGATGAAACGATGTGAAGTGTCCTCTCTTTTTGCATAATATGATGTTTTAAAAAAAAATATATTGTGACGCATTATAGGGGGCCCTGTTATCTGTGCTAGGCCCTTATGTGATGCGTTAGGCCCATCAACAAGCTCATCAATTCTCCGACACTGTATAAAAAGAGATTATAAAGAGAAACAAAAGAGAAGACAGTCTACTGTTATCTGTACTGAATCCATGTACTATTACACAGTTACAGCATTGATTGTTTACACTAGAAACTGTTTATTTCCAAACTAAATAGAGAAAAGAAAAAATAGGAAGATCAGTGTTAAGACATATCCTATATTGCAAAAAATTTCACAAGTTGCAACTAAATTAGTTAAATAAGAGATGCCTTGAGGAATCACAAAGACTTAGAAATGATGATAAGTAGAGAACCTGGTTTCCTTTTTTATCTTAAAGGAATCAAATGGTAGAGGTCAAAGTATTCACTAGTCGATTAAGGTTTCACGACCAATTCTTCAATTATTTTTTGGAGTCCAAACTAAATATTTTGTTATGTTATCCAACGATCTAGCAAGCAAAAATTCAGATATACCCCAATTGCCAAAGCAATTCAAGAAATGAGAGCCTCGTAAATATACAGTTAGCTCATATCAAATTTATCTGACATTAAGCTGGTTGTGCAGCAGCCTTCGTTATATTGTGTACTCCAAGTAATATCCCAGCAGTCCCCATTTTCGGAGTCGCACTATATGGGTTACAGATCACTACATTATATTGTTGCATTCTGGTATCATGCTTTTCATAGTATGATTATCATGTGGACAAATATAATTCAGTCTTTTTAAGGAGTTTGGACTGTTCAGATATACCAAACTAATAAAAAGTTTAAAGTGACTATTCAGGGACAAAAAATCAAAAGTTGATATCAGAGATTTTTTAGGCATCAACTACAAAATGTTTATTAGTGGATCTACCAGCATAATGATATTTATTTGACTACAACTAGTTGACTACCCCCATGACGTTAAGCAGTAGATTCCATTAAAACAGAGTCATCAATACATCTCGAATGCAACAGATTTGATATCACTAATGAAAGAACCATTATTGGGGTTCCGATTTTAAAACTATACTCTTAACATAGTGAAAAGCAAACAAAAACTTAAATTTGTGTTTCTCTCAGAAGACACGAAATATTATGTTTTCATTTCTAGAAACGAAATAACAAACCAGTTTAACAATCCTGCAATATCATTTGTTTCTCACAGAAGCAATTACCGTTAATTTAATGACCAACCAGTGCCCGTCTTCAATGATGAATCAGCTCCAACCCTAACTAACATTCTTAACAGCTCTCTTTCAATTTATTTTACTATACTGTGCTAGTGAAAAAAATGTCAAATTATGCACACCATTTAAGCCCCTATTAGATGATTACGTCTCTAAATTCTCATTTCTATTAGAATGAATTATAGAAAGAAGAATTGTTCTAGTTTACAGGCCCTAGACTTTACCATATATTGCCCAGATAGCTCTTCTCCTCTCAGCAGTCATTAGCAGTGTTCCTGCAAAGGGGGAAACAAAGAATTACAATTAATTCCAACAATTACTCAAATCATCTCATAATCCGAAGTTCTACCTCAACAAAATTCTTCCTAACTAAGAATGGATAAAAGAGTCTAACCCAAGTAAAATGTCTTGGCATACTCTGCACAGACTTCGCCACAACGATCATAAGCTTCACTCAATAAGCTCAGAGTCCCCGGAAGAACAATATCAGGTTTCACTTCCAAATTGACTTTAGATCTCAACTGCCTGTTAACCAAGGCGGCCTGCTTCAACACCACATCGTAAACCTTCTGCTCTGATGAGACTCTTATTTCTGCAGCTGGGTTTGCTACCACACTTGACACTACAGAGAATTTGCCACCATTTTCTAACCCCGACTCAGTCGAGCAAGAATACCTAAGATCTGCATTAAGAGAGCTGGTATTCCACCTAGGTATCCTACTCTTCTTGAGTCTGCTACTACCTATCAACTTCCGATCCCGAGCACTGAACCTCTGTGAATTTAATAATTGGTTTCCTTCTCGAACAGATTCCAAGAACCCAAAGCTATTGGGGACCTCAGAACTGGGGGAAACAACCCATAGCAAGGTAGCAGACATGTTGAACCTGAAGCTGTGCTTCTCTACACAACTATAAAATAGTGCTTCTCTACACAACACGGCCCACTACGTCAGTCCACTTTCACGAAAAGTCTAGTTTATCTTTGCTAGATGAGATAGATTATGGAAATCCACAAACAAACCAAATAGCTTCTCAGAGAGAACCAATTAAAGCAGAACTCTTTAGCCCTTGAACAGCGAGTGAAGCTCTTTCTGGGGCTTCTGCAAATGAAGAAAAAACAGTAACAAACCATAAACCACTAAACAATCACAGGGGGCAAAAATTACCCAACACAAAATCCCAGAAAGACAAATCAAAAACTGCTAAAAGCTAATGAAAAGGGATCTCTGAAATTAGTTCAGAGAGTGAGAGCAGATATAAAATAAGCTCATGGTACTATTTATCAGTCTTCTTTGGATAATGGGTGTTGTCTATTTTTAGTCCTCTTGATTAAAATAATCTCACTTTTCAAAGTTCATACACGTAGAAGTCGTCTTCAAAAACCAAACCAAACCAAAAATCTACCTATAAATTGATGCAGAGAATTAAAATAAATGCATACAAAGGGGAGTGAAAACCAACCTGCTTATTGGTCTCTACCATTCACAATCCAATCAGCTGAACAAGGTTTTTAAGGTATCAACATCACTTGAAAGAAACCAACAATGGCTACTCAAATCACCCTCCTTCACAATCTGACCCACCCAAACTCTCAAAACTTCGAGAGACACCTTCTTTTCTCTCTTATCTTCTTTATTTTCTCTGCCTTTTATGTCAAACACACCTTTCTTCTACTTTTACAATGGATGGGAATTTGCTAGTGTTTCTGTCTTAACTCTTCTTATTTGTTGCTTTGAGCAGTAATAGTGATTTTGGTGCTTAAAAGATTTTTAAAAACTCAAAAATATGGCCCCACCCAAACAACCCGCTTGGTTTACATTGTAACGGGTATGGTCCCGGCAAAGATCCGAGTTCTATTGGGTCCAAAATGCCAATATTTTTTTCCTTTTTTTTGTGAATAAAAGGTTGTCTGTGCTTAGACAATGAATTTCGTAGAAATAATTAGAGTCATAGCTTAACTCCAGTCTATTTCTTTGGAAACGAACCTGGGTGATTAATACTAGAATCGCTCTTAAAACCATTATCTTGACACTAAACCAACGAAATCAATGATAAATGCAAAGATTTGGACATATTGTGATTTTGGTAATAAAAGTATTGCAATTTTGGACTATCAAATCTATTAGCTCAGAGAAATTAAATGAAGTTTCAAACTTTTTATATAGAATTATTTTTCTTATAAGACAAATATAAAATCCATTAAATCTGAAAATCATAACAAAAATATGTTCTAGAAACTTTCACGTTTTGTACATATAATTATTGAATGACACCATATTTTAAGAGAACACATATAATTGCATTTTTATAATACTTGAGCAACAAATTTGATTTGATTTGATGTCGATTTGTTTTAATTTTCTCTTTTGTAGTGATGATTAAGCAAACTCTTATT